TAATAGATAACTGAAATAGAAAGAATAGTAATCATATCCTAATAACTTTTGGTGTTTAAAAAAATTCTGCAATTGAAATATTCAGAACTTAATTAATTTTAATAATTTACTTTAATTAAATGAACCAATCAAACCAAAGTAGTTAAAAAGATTTACTCAATTGAGCATATTATCAAAAATATAATTATAATTGTAAAACTCCATCGTTAACTTCAGGTGAAACTAAAAATCATTTTTTTTTTAAATTTATGATTTATATAGCAACATATTACTAAAAAATTTGGCATATTATAGACTGGTAGTAGCACACAGAAATAGAGTTAAAAAATTAATAAATTATAAAGTAAAATTATTTACTTTTGTAGTTGAATACTTTTATCATATCAAATTTAATTCGACAATAAATAATTTAAGAATATTAAAAATTAATGATTTTAATTGTTTGTATGGACAAATCTAGTTAAGCTACTTTTTATTTGAATAAGGAATATTTTTTTGATTTTTAAGAGTAATAACTTAAACTAATCATTAACTTAAATATCATAAACTTAAATGAATCATTTGACGTATCGTTGAAAAAAGTAGGTCTAGTGAGGGTTGGCAAAATAAATCGTAGCCACAAAAAGAACCACATAGTAAAATAATATTAACATGAATATCAATTTCTTCTCACGAGGGGAGACTATAGTGATAAGATCCTTTATATTTATTGAAATTATTGAATCTAAATGAGATAAATATCAAATGATTTGAAAATTCTATTCTAACTCAAAAAAAAAATGCAAAATTTTAGAAGCCACAAACCGATTTGAACCTCGTACCCTAGGTGTTAAAGATCAAGGTGTTACCCATTCGGCAACTATTCGTTGATTTTTGTTGCTTGATAAAATTGTCTATTTAAGCTAAATCAAATTTAAAAATTACTTTTTCGACTTTAAAAAAGTAAAAATAGTTATTAAGTATAATATCATATGTCTTATGAACTTTATTCTATGTCNAAAAAAGTAAAAAAATTTAATAAGTTTAATTTCTTATGTCTTATGAATTTTATTCTATGTCAATTAAATTATATAATATTCATGAAAGTCAATATATTCTCCTAATAAGATATTTCAAAATAAAATAAAATACAAAACCTAGAATTTTAATAGAAAAATAGCATATTTTTGAATACGGTAGCCATTTGCGCATAGAAGATAGGTCGTCGGGACAAATTTTTTTTTTTATGTACTATAAAATAAGCTTTAATTTGATATATGTTTAAAGGACGCAGTATTTCCGGAACATTTTCAAAAATTAAGTTGAATATGTTAATTTTTGTAAAAAAGTTACTATTTTAAATCCTCTTTGTGAGCAGAATAAGTGTTAGATTTTCAAAAAAAATGATATCAAACGAAAGGAAATTACCTAAGGTTTCAATATAAAAAAATATTATTTTGATTTGTTAATATTTGAAAAAGTTATGGCAGTTTTAAGTACAAAAAACATCGTTATAAAAGGTGATTTTTATCGCAAATATTACATTTTTTTTTAAATTTCGACAGCAATTTGCACATAGTATATAGGGTGTCGGGACAAATTTTTTTTTTTTAATTTATAGTACATAAAAGAAGCTTTAATTTTATATATGTTTAAAGGATGCAGTATTTCCGGAACACTTTCAAAAGTTAAGTTGAAAAAGATCTATGTTTTATACAATGTTTCAAGTTTTGAACGCCCCCTATATAAGGGGAAATTGTCCAATTTTAATAAAAATTATGTCAAATGAAAGGAAAATATCTAAGGTTTTAGTTTTAAAAAAAATGATGTTGATTTGTTGATTTTTGAAAAAGTTATGGAAGATTTAAGAAAAAAAAGTGATAAAAATGACAAAATTTGTCGATTTTTAAATTTGTAATTTTTTTGGATATTTCCCCCATTTGCGGGGAACGAGGGAAAATTTTTAAATTTTTAAGGGTAATGTCTTCAACTAGATACAATTTGTGATCTTTTGACGTATTGTTAAAAGAAATCGGTCCAGTGAGAGCTGAGAAAAAGT